AACCTCAAGCAGATCTGAGGGAGGGAAGAAATCTGCATATCACTCTTAGCTGAATGTAGGTCATAACTTCATTTGAGAACCATTCAGATATTCTACAAACAGGCCTCCCAGCAAACTGTGGTGTCTGACATTGAAGGAGAGAGGCAATGGGGTGGGGGGCATCTCAGGAGTGCTGCACTGACCTCCTGCAGATCCAGAAGAAATATTTGGCATGCCATCATACTCCTGGATAAAATCGCTGGGGATTTGGTGAGGATAGAACTTCCAGCAGGGCTGTGCAGGGCACCAGGCCACAACCATGGAGCTCATGGGGACAGCATGGGGTTGCCTTCTGTTGGAAACAGGCTCTGGGGGCTGTGACCACCCACAGCACCAGGGCTGTGCCCATGCAGGACCCCAGGCAGGAGAAACAGGGATGGAAGACGTGAGCACAGCCCAACAACCTCCAGCACCAGAACCCAGCGCCAGATCCTGAGAGTGTGCTGTGGAGTTTGGGACTGTGGGGATGTAGGAGAAGAGCCTAAGTAACAGGGTCTCAGTTGGGCTTCTTCAGGGCATCTTAGGGCAGTGCTGAGGCTGCAGATTTGGAAGGAGTTTAGGGCCCTGCTGAGCACTGCAGTAGACTGGGGTCTTGGTTTAGGAAAGGTCCCCAGCCTCATCCCACTCACTTGGCTGCATTCAAAGCACCTTCTCTTCACTTGCAGGAAGGTCGGGCACACACTGAAGCTGTTTGAATGCTATGTTGATAAGGCGAGAGCAAACTGTCCCTGTGCTCCTGAAAGCAGAATCAAACTGAAACTCACCACTCAAAGTAGAAAACTCATAACACCCACAGCTACAGACATGCACGATTTGCTGCAGGACAGGTTAGAAGAGGAGCCTCGTCCTGCACCCTCGGGTCTCATTAGAGGAAAGTAAAAAAACAGCATACATGGACAAGCTGGTGACTGCAAACACCGGTGCGTGTTCTCTCCTCAGCATTCAGTTGTCTTCTGATGGCTTATTAAAAAGGCATATTTTCACTTTTCTTGTATCCCCGTTCTTTTTCGCACCTGGTTACAGCTTCTGCACCATTTTTAACTTTCGTTTGTTTCATGACCGATTGCAGGCCAGGTCACAGCCCTCCAAGGAGCCACCAGCAGCAGAACCCCAATCCTTCCCTACTGGTGAGGGCCACAGGTGCTTACAGAGGGCTGTGAGGCTGACAAGGAACTGGTCTGGTTCACAGCAGCCTGTGAATATGCACAGAACCTGCCCTTAGAAAAATGCTGCCTGAGTAGGTTAAGGGCAGGGGAAAGCAAATGCTAGAGGGACAGTTCTCATGCAGAAAGTTTTGCCGTGGAAACCTGAAAGAGTCTGGGAACAAGGACCACAGCCCAGTTAGTCCTGTGTGGGTTTCTGTCTGCTATGCTCATCATCCTGCTGAGAACTCTCTCATTTAAACTTGGATTTAAGGGATAACTCATCTGGGAGATGCACCAGGTCCCCTATCCCACCCCAACAAGTGATCCCTTCAGCACAGGGGAAACAGGGATGAGACCTCCAGCATTTATTTTGCTGTGCATATTTCAGTGTGAACCCAATCACTGCACTTCCCCTTGAAGTGTGGCCACTTTGGGGCTGGAATGCTGTAAGGAATCTCACTTGGTACTGGGATAAGGAAATGATCAAGGACTTGCCTAGTCACAATTAATGGGGGAAAAAAAAGAGCTGAAGGCCCTTATTAATCATTGCACAACGAGGAAGTCATACTGGTTTGGCTCCCTTCAACTGAGCTATTTGGTCACACCTACCTAAGTGTTTCGGCATCCCAACCATGTCCCTGCACACCTGACAAGGCGAGGGCCACCCACTACGCCCACGTGGCATTGGGCTGCCTGACCCTGGCAGCTGGGCAGGGGCCCAGTGCTCAGAGGCCAGCATCTCCACGTCAGGGTGTGCCCTGCCGTCTCTGAGCGATGGTTTCCGCCCCAGGCCCTGGTGTTGGTGCCTGCGCATCACAGTGCACGTCCTGTAGCTGGTGCTTGATGATATGGAGCATGCAGCCATAGGTTGCAGTTATTGCCACCATGGCCACAATGGATGTGAAGCATGTCCACTTGAGAAATGAACTGCAGCAGCTGTGTTGCATGTAGGACGTCCCTTTCTCAGCACCTCACGACAAACTAACCTTCCATTTCCAGGTAACTATCGAGCCTTTAACAAAATATGTATTTCTCTGTTCCAGGCAGGACTGGTCAGTGCTTCTCAGCTAAAGCCTTTTGAGTGTCAGCTGTGCTCCACACATCCCAACCCCTTGTCCCCACCAGCCCTGGCCTCACTGCAGTGTCGAGTGCAGGAGGGAGTGCTGCTGTGGGAAGGGATGGGGCGGTCATTTTGGGGAATTATTGTCAGCCACCTCCAACACATCGGGGAGCTTTTCTGAGGCTCCCATTGTGGCTTCTGTTTGTCAGATACCTGCCCCATGACGGGTGCGTTCCGCAGCCCCGCCACAGCCACTCAGCCCCAGCTCATGCAGTAATTAGCCAAGTGCTTCCTGGCTGTCTTTAATTATGGTCAAAACTGTTGCCCTCTGATGTCATGCCTCCACACAAAAGCATAGGCCTGGGCTCCGTCTCACAAGGAGCACGGTCTCAGCACGTGTTGGGATGGCTCCACGTACCCACAGCTGCTAACTGAACATGACGGGCTCCCGTCCCATGGGCAAATCACATTGTCTTTTTCAACCTCACAGGTGTAATTGCCCACATTTGGTCTTCCAGGTCATTATTAGCTGGCCAGAATGGTGGGGCCCTCCTCAAAGCTGTGTTTGGTACAGTCTCAGCTCCCATGGTGAGGCAGCTAAGCTGGCAGAGCCGCATCGTGTTTGGTCCCCCATTTCGGTGGTGATGGCGTTAAGGTAGGCTCAAGTCTGCCAGCCCCAGCCAGCTCCAGCGGCACATGGCTCCACAGGGCTGCATCCAAAAGCAGCCGGAAGCTCTTAGTTTTTGCCCACAGATGGTGAGCTGTCCCGGTGTTGTCACCGTCCATTGTTGACCCCACGTTTCTGGTGACAACGGGCCTTTGGTGACTTCTAACTGGCTGTGGTCTGCCAGAAACAACAGCCCCAGCTGCCGCGCTCGGCCTCACGAAGCTGTGATCTATAACGTGCATTGTCTTTTTATGTAATGCATTTTATTAAACATCTTCTAAAGCTTACAAGTGTCCCCAGGACATAACTCTCCAGCACAAAGTACTGCCTTGCCAAGTAATGAAGTATGATTTATGGCGGTAACGGTTATCCTGGTGGTTTTTTTTTTTTTAAATTATTACAGCAATAGCTCTGTCGAATATAGGAATATAACATGCTGCATTTGGCACGTTTATGACAACAGGGCTCTGGTTTTCTTAACTCCACAGCTCTGCATTGGCAGAATGTCAAATTCTTGAGACAGATGTTTAAATGAATTTTAAGAGGACAGTGAAATACTTTTAAAGCATCGTACGGCGCTGAGTGTCTCAATATGAGACGGCACGTTATTCCTGTAATGTTCAGGTAGAGGAGGCCAGCGCATGGCCTTTCTGGTTTGGATCTCACTGCAAATGATGGGAGTAGCAAATGTCGAATTTGCTTTCGGAGGCATCCTCACATGTCGTTACTTTTTGGCTGGGGGTTTTGGGGCTGGACACTTGACCTCCCCCTTAGGTTTGGTTCGTGTTTGTATCTCAGTGGCGAGCAGTAAAAACAGATCCACATTTGTTTTGAATGCCGTTCCCACCACGCTGATACAGGGCTAAGTGGTCTCATGCTGACATTTTGAGTGTGTCATTGTGGTCCCAGTGGTTACGGTTTCAGGCCAGAAATGACAATCATTTGGAAAAATGTAAATGAGAACACAAGTCGTATATCTTAGAGGCAGATAGCATTCAAGTATTTCCATTGAAACACTGAAAAAATAATTTAAAAAAATCCAACTTTTTTCTAAGGTATTGGCTACAAGAGCGTGCCATAATGAAACACAACCAGGGTGTTCGGTGCTGGCATTGTTGTTCACCCCTTTCAATCATGGAAAATCGGAGCCCACAAAAGCAGGAGTCAGCATTGTTGGAGACATCATCGCCGTCAGCGCACAGTGTGCTTGCGGCCGGGAGGGGAAGGCACCCTGCGACGCGGCTGTGCACGCACTCAGTGCAGAGACATTGAAGACAAGTGAAGCATCAGTAAAGCAATGAACACTTATATTTAATTTACATTTGACAATTTGCACATAAATAATGATGTAAACCAATACGTAAACATATGATAGTTTGTTGTTCTAGCAAAGTAAAAAGCCTGTTAACTTTGGTCAGAGTCTTTCTTAAGAGAGACAAAAAAAAAACCCCAAAACACTGTTGATTGTTGCTACATTCACATGTAAAACTTCTAAGGGAAGGGGGAAACAGTAAAGAGAAGTAACAATTCTTAAAGCTGATGCATATAAATTCTTGTAAAATTTGTATCAAATACAAGAAAGCACTACAGGCAAACATAGGAAAAGTGTGTGTCCAGTGACAGAGTAATGATACTTTGGTTTATCCTACAAGTAAGTACTATATTTATGAACTATTGCTACATTTAAAAGATGTCAGCCTCACAAGTTGCAGGAGTGGAAATGTAATGAACTGTAGTCCTTCAAAAGCTGTGTGTATGTCGGGATTGTTGAACCAAAGGCATTAAAATAAGATTCCACGGGGGAAAAAAAATCACCAAATACTGGATTGATGAAGTGGGAGACCTTACAATTTATAACAGAAACAAACAAACAAAAAGATACACCTGGAAGGGAAGACTGCTAATGCTACCAAGATTGATGCGAGTTGATGATGCAACCCGTTAATGGCAGGGTACAAGGAGACTAGGGTGCTTGCTAGAGCTCACCCCCACTGACTTTCAGCCTACTCCTCTGTGCTCTGCGCTCACACCATGCGTGCGTAGTATTTGGCTTCTTTTCAGGTTCTTTTGGTTAAGTTTTCTGGTTGCTTGTTCGCTGCCCACCCGCCTCTTTCCCCCCAGTACACACTGCCAGGAGAGCAGGGCACCGAGGACCCCAATCCTGCAGACACGGTTCCTCCCCCTGACTTTGCCCAGACTCCCCATGTGAGTGATGTTTTTCACATCAGGTGTTTGCAAGTTCGGGCCCTGCAAGGACAGCACAGCCCTGCACGTGTACTTGCAAGCGATAAATGCCTTTGTACAACCTTTTGGTTTTGAGGTCATTGGTAATATGCAAAACTGGATAACATCTGATTTTCACACTTAGATGAAAAATAGGTTTTATTACATGGTTTGGCTCACAACTTAACTGGTATAAATATATATACATATACATATATAGTATAGTGGTATAAATATATCTATAAATATACATGTACTCTTTGCTACACCTCAAATGTCACCATATCATCTTTGGGCTTAGCAAAACAAAAAGATAAAGGACGTGCATTCTATCTTTCCCTGTGCACATTTTGGTTTCTTCTCTAAAGTAGCAAAGCATTTAGATAAAACAGCATTGTCTGCACCACTGGACACAAGCACTGAGGTAATTGTTGTTCAACAACTTTGCAATGCCCTTTTCTTCTTTAATTAAATTAACCACAAAATGTACAAACACAAATACTGAGAAAAATCTGAGTTGTACAGGAAGGAAAAAAAAAAAAAAATGTATGTGCCAGAAAAGGACTTTGTTCCCCACTTCTACACCCAGGCAAAGCGGGAGAGAAAAAACACATGTAAAACCAAACCCCTTATTTCTCAGGGAATCTGACCATTTTTTGTATCCCTGGAAGGCTCTGGCCAAAAACAAACCAAAAAGAAAAAGAAAAAGAAAAGAGAGAGAGAGAAAAAAAAAAAAGAATCCTGCCGAAAATCTCCCTCGAGGCAGAATATTAAGAAGATTGGAATATTGGTGTGTTTGCTTTTAAACCATTATTGGAAACAAAAGCATGTAAGTGATATTTTATTTTGGAAGAGTCACTTTAAGCTGATGTGTTCCTTTGGTCATAAAGTTACGTGACAAGGTGTGGGGCTATAGCTGTTCTCTAAAAACCTACGGTATTGTCCATGCAGGTGTTTGCTGTGTCACATCTGTTCTGGGTAGAGCTGCAGGTAGAAGAACCTCTCCTGCCCTCAGAGAGGCCGGGGCAGCAGTTTCTTCTCTGCTTGCTGCTACCTTTTCTTTTTATTTTTTTTCTCCTTTTTGAATCCCAATGGGGTGATTTGCACATAAAAGTACCCAGCATTTTTTTCAGACTGACTGATCTAGGATTCTGTATGTCAATGTCCAACTTTGGCAATAGAAAAAAAAAAAAAACACATTTGTTTAAAAGACATTGGTACATAAAACATGGTTACTGAAACCCCAATCTTAGGTTCTTAAAACAGATGTGCAGAAAAAAAGTCTATGGAGAATGGCCATAAAACAAAAAATAAAAACACTTAAAGTAAAAATTACAATGAATTTTCCAGTCATTGTAAACATTTTTCTAATTATTGCTTTTAGAATGATAAATTGCATAATAAATTATGAAGTACTATCATTGAAAAAATAATTATGGATAGATGATTGTCTTTTAGTAACTGGCGAGGCAACACGCAGTCCTTTGCCTCTTTTTATGCCCTGAGAAAACAGTAACTTTGGAGTTCCTTCTTTCAGCTGGAGAGCGTAGGGAAACTACTGTAAGCCAAGATTGCTTTGCAGCATTGAAACTATGTACAAGCAACTGCTACAGGCACCCTGACTTGCCAAGTCATAAATAAAAAAATCACTTTGCCAAAAAGTCTTAAGGGTCCATTGGTTCAACTGTTTCTTGCTTGACCTTTACAGGTAACAGAGGTAGTGGGTGACCGTGAGGCAACTTCATAATTGACATATCTGAAGACTCATAAAGGTTGCATCCTGAGGAGATAAGTCCGTTTCCCAGGTTCCTCTGTAAAGATACTTTGAGATTAGCTCCTTCCATTTCCCTTCTGAGCACGGTCAGTATATCCTTCTCCACGATGGACGTTAGGTCAATATTGTCCTCCACCTCTTCCAACTTGTCGGCATTGTCACTGATGTCGAACTTCTCGATCTCCTCGTTGATTCGGTTCAGGTCCTCCATCGAGAGGCCGGAGGCGGGGGCGACAGGGCAGTTGCCCTTCAGGTGGACCTGGAGGCTGCAGAGGTGAATGTAGCTCTTGTGGCAGTGGATGCATTTGTGGGGACGCTCCCGGGTGTGGAGACGTTTGTGCAGCTTCAGGTGCACAAACTGGGTGAATTTGGCTGGGCACAGCTTGCACTGGTAAGGCTTCTCTCCAGAGTGGAGCCGCAGGTGGGTTTTGAGATTGCTGGTGCTGCTGAACCGCTTGTGACAAACCTGAGGGGGGGTGGCAGAGAAACACCGAGTGAGTGGGAGGGGATTTCATGCTTTAAATCAGACACCTAGGAGGAGATGGCAGGATGAAGCAGCGGCTTTTTATATCTTCACACTTTCTCAGCGGGGGAAAAAAATCCCCAGCTTTTCTATTTTAAATATTGCTGAATAGCATTTTGAGTGTGGTGACGGCAAAACTGTATCAGGCAGATGCTGCCCTAGCAGGCTGAAGGCAACCATGCTGTTTCACAGACACTGGCATACCAGGGCTGGAAACAGCTGTGACATGGATGTGAATCCTGAGCAGTTGCCAGTTTGTCATGCAGCTCGCCACACGGGTTGTGCACAAAGTGCAAGGAGGGCACGGGCCCTGCTGTCCCGTCAGACTCCAAGGGGAGCTGTCTCTGTGTGTGTTACATACCTGACACTCGTGGGGCTTCTCTCCTGTGTGTACCAGATAGTGCTTCTGGAGGTGAGCCAGCTGTGTGAAGCCTTTATTGCAAGTCTGGCATTTAAATGGTCTCTCTCCGCTGTGTACTCGGAGGTGCACCTAGGGAGAAACAAAGCAATTAACAATTGGCAGTTTCCAGTAATGCAATAAAAGTACTTTCAGATGTTTCCTAAAGTTAGCAGAAGCCTCTCACTGCCAAAATGCACTGCTACCTAGTTAATTAGGTGGCGTCAATGTTAAGGAATTGTCTCTGCAGCCATGCTTTCTTGGTGGGGGATCAGCCCAGACTGGGATTAAGCCCAGACTGATCAATAGCCTGCCAAGCACAAGAGCCTTGTCCCTGATTTTCCTAGAAGACTACAGGGAGAAATCAGAACCTTAGTCTTAAGTCTCCACCACCTACCTTCAGATTCGAGAGCTGGCCAAAGGTCTTGGAGCAAACGTTGCATTCGTACTTGATCTTCCCGTTCTGCTTCTTCAGTGGGTACGGGAGGGTTTTGTAACCAGTCACATTCCTCTTGCTTTTAATGAGATTCATGGCTTCTTCACCACCGGTGGCAGCCAACACCACTGAGGTAGGTTTAGGTTGCATTATGTGTTCTGAACTGGCTGCTGTACCAGCTGTGGGTGACCCGCTGGTGGGGCTGCATGGCTTGTCCTTCATGCTGGCAGCAGCGCCCGTGATAGAGAAGGCACTGTTAGGTGCTGGTATGAGGAAGTCCCTTGGATGATCGGGCTGCAGCAATCGACGGCCTCCTTCGCTGGGCAATGAGCTGGGGAGTGTGGTGGGGTTCAACATGTGGTGGGAAAGGCTACCTCCACTGAGCAGGTTGCCATAGAGGGGATACATCCGTGGGAAGAGATTGAAATTGTTGATGCCGTTGATATTGTTCAAAGCGCTCAGGTTATTACAGCTCATATTGAATGGAGGTAACAGAAATTTGGGATAGTGGGGGTTATAGGATGGTAGAAAGGCAGATGGGAGGTGGCTAGGGGGGGCGTATCCAGGATAAGAACCCAATCCTTCTGAGCCATAGGACCCGTTCAGGTAGGGGTATGACTCTCTGTGCTCTTGGGAAGTTGGTGCCAGAGGTGAAACTGTGACCCCTGGGCTGCTGTGAGGGCTTGAACTTTTTAAACTTTGGTCTGGACTGCTCCTCCCGGAAGGACTTGGTGTAGTAGATGACTGGATGGGTGAGTGAGTAATGTAGCTGGGTCTGTCCATCCCATATGCTAAGGAAGCTTTCAGATAGTCTTCTGGAATGTGAGGTCGGATCGGGTAGACAACTCGAGGGAAGAAACACCTCTCTGGGCTATAGTTCTTACGCAAATCATCCAAGTCCTTTTCTGGAGTAACCGGTGAAATGTTGGTCTGGAAGAAGTCTTTTCCTTTTGGAGGACTGGATTCCATTTTCAGGATTTCCTTCACACTGTGCTCCTTCTTTGGGACGCTCTTCTGATAGAGCTCATCTTTATCAGCACTGTGCTGCTTTGGATTAACGTGGGTTTGTGCTGAAATACAAAGACAAGGTAATTATTACTTAGATAAGCCACCTTCATTATCTCTTCTCAAAACACAATCTAACTCCTACAAGCTTAGTGGGAACGATGCGCCACTGCCAGAGATAAAAATTCATTTAATTCACCAAAAAATTAACTTTTGTGCAAAAAAATGCCTGCTGGTATGAAGGCATTAACAAAAAAACACATTGTTAATTTAAGGGACAACTACTAGTTTGTACAGATCTGGACAATGATTCATTTGCAGAGTGATAGTCTCCATTTTGCAAACTGATTTCTCTGTACTTTCCCCTTAAATTCGACCATCTGCTGGTATCTCTTCAAGCTGTACTTCTAGCAAATGTGGTAACAAGCTTTTGCTCACAGTACAGGTTTACCAGAAGGACTTTACAGAACACAAGCTCCCAGAAATGTTCCTCGCTAAAATAACAAGGCATGACAAATCGGCTTTTGCCAAACCGCAGCAGTCACTTCACCAGCCAGTTCAATTACTTACAGTACCAAAAAGCCCATGGCTGGCTAGGATGAAAGCCTTCTTCAAAGAGAAGGTATTCTCCATCAGTAAACAGATCATTACTCATTAAATATACTGCTTAGGAACATCTACAACAAAGCAGACTATTTACTGCAGATCTCTGTGGCATTCAGTCTATGCAAAACTCCTCTGCTTACAGCTGTACTTTATAAAAAAAATGCTGAAGCAAAGCAAAAGAAAGCAAGACTGGTTGGCTCCAGCTTAAGTTGAAATGTACTTAAAATAAAAAAAAAAAAAGAAAGAAAGAAAGAAAAAAGAAATGTGCATTTAGAAGGAAATAGAAGCTAACATCCATTTGGCTCAGTTCAACACATACACAGATTGTTTGTCTGCATTCAAAAATTCTACCTTCTTATCTGGACATAATGTAATACAAACAGACCACTGGAGGATAGAAAAAGAATTCTACTTGTATCTAATCTTCCAATAGTTATATAATCACAAAATGATGACTTGTAAGATGTTTTATTATAGGGGAAAAACTACAAGAAAGTTTGATGTTAGTGGTTAGCTACGCGCAAGGCTTTCCATCAGGAGACGCAAGTCAGTGCCGAAGGTACGTGACTCGAAACGATCTTTTTTTTGGCCCTTCTGCCAAATTTCTGCTTTTGTGACTGACAGCTCTTCCTTTGCTAACTAGGCTGAGAAACAGTTGTTTCTAATTTCTGACGGACCAGCTAAACCCAGTGAGGAAGATGGAAACAGGCAATGACCACACCGCTTTCAACGCAGATTCTTTGCTTCACTATTCACTACCCTCACGGAATCTATCATTTGGCAACATTACCCTATAAGGCAAAGAAACAGCCATTTATTAAACGTATCCAAGAAAACAGCTGCTTTCAAAACATGTTCCTGCTCACAGCAACCCGCTTTTACAGTAGCATCTTTTTTGCTGGCAGCAAACATATCTAATTTGAGATATGCAGGCGGATCGTCTATGTTCAAGTTGCAACGGAATGCAATCGAACATAGACGTGGTCAATTAAAGTATTTATGATCAAATACAGGACATGCTGTACAGCAAGCACATGTGCAGATGGCTTCCCAACTACTTTACTCAATGTTAATGTTTAATTCAGAGCTGTTTCAAAAATATACTGACAACAGGTCGTGTTGTCTGACATTAGAAATCATCCACTTTCCTTCTGTCATTCTGTCTGTACCATTTTTTGGGGTAGGACATGCAGGTCTGCTAGGTTTAAGAACCCCACACTGGCACAGTGGATAACGTTATCTCCATCTCGTTATCAGCTGCCTGTCACCACGCCAGCCTCTCGGAGCAAACATTCCCAGTGACGCTATCAGCAACGGGATCGGAAGTATTGAAAGCTGGGCGGGGGGTGGGCTGGGAGAGGGAGGGACTTGTGAAGCCTCACAGCAGAATAAATAAATATCACCTTATCAGGCCCCTATCGGTTTCTCCGTGGGGTCTGTCAAGCAGGAAGTTCAAACTGACACTTTTCTTTTTTAAAGAACAAAACAAGTCCTGGGGGAGGGGAAGAGGAAGAAGTGCCAGTGCTACTGGAAAAGTGATAGAGAAACCCAGACGCCTCAGCTGGAGGAAGGGCTCTCTCTCACTGTCACAAGGGTAAAGCTGAGGGTGGGGAGGTACGTGCCTGATGTGCTGGAGAGAGCCCGTGAGGCGAGTCACAGAGAGGAAGCTCACGCGGAGAACTTTACTGCACAGCTACCCAAGGGCCCCACTTGACAGACAAATAGTGGCTCTTTCTTTCCCTTCGAAGTTCCCAAGATAGCCTTCCCTCCTATTAATTTTCACGTGCAACAGAAATAGCAACATTTAAAGATGATTTTCCAACTCTTGACTGTGACAGCTCTCTTTAGCTTGGAGGTCATCTTTGCTCCATAAATCCCCTCCTGACTTCTTCCCCTACTACCTGAGCCCGAGGAAGATTTGGAACACCAGAGATCAAAATACAAACAAGTGTGTCAGCACCGTGTAAAACAAGAGAAGGTAATGTCAGAAGCCAAAGAGAGGTTCTGATGTTTTATGCTGAACGTGGATTTAAACCAGCCAGGGCTGAAACTGATTGAGAGGTTTATAACCTTTCTTACTGCTCTTAAAGGAGTCATGCTTCAAAGTTAGAGATATTTGTTTTTTACAAATAGATTTATTTTATCTTGTGATTTTAGATTTAAATTGTTACTAATCACCATGTCTCTCCTTTACTATGCCTCTCTCTCCACCCCACTCCTCCCAGCACACACATATATAATAGATAAAGGCACACAATCTTCCAAGATCTGTATTGTTTCTGCGGTCAGGCAGGCACACAGAAAAGAAGTTAATGACAAAAGAAGCACAATGCAGTTGCATTTGCAACTTACAGATCTGAGGGGGAAAAAAAACAACAGACATGCCTCCTTCAGAGCCTGATCCAGTTCTCACTGAGGTCAATAGATTATTTGCTCAGATCTGAGATTTGTGAGTGCGTGTGAGAGCAAAGGCGACAGAAATCCTGTTACTTCTAAGTATTAATGAAAGGTGAGCAGAGGGGCTGCCTGAAGTCACACCAATGTGGGTGTTCCAGTTAGAGACGGCTGCCCTGCTGTCAGTTTTGCTCATTACTTGAGCTCCTAGCTATAAGCCTGAGAAAAGCTTCATAAAAACAATGATCTGTTTTTTCTAAAAACTTGAAAAACGGTTGTAGGTAGACAGTAATTGCAATAGTAATTTCAGGAGTGAAATGGTACTGAACACTTTGAGTGGTGAAGCTTAATTACGCCGATTCACATTTTTGATCTAAATTAAGCACGCTTTTGCTAGTAGAAAGAGAACCTCGAAGTTGTGAAGTAGGCAAAACAAAGAGTGCTTCCACTCAAAATGAGAGTGGAGACCAACATTTAGAAGTCTATAATTCGATCACCCGTTTTCTAAATGTGTCCAAGGCAGTGTGACTTGCCTTTGAAAACGTTTTTTGCTCAAAGACTTCAGATATGCCTTCAAATAATCCTCAGTATTAAGTCAACTTCAGCCCCAAATTCTGGTTTTGCAGAGAGAACTTTGTATACAATTTGAAAACCATTTTCCTCAGCCCGTTTGAAGATTCCAGTAGGCACATTTTAAACAAATGCAGATGTTTCCTTTTGACCCAAACAGAAAAGCTTTAAAACCAGAAAGTGAAACTGACCATAAACAAAAGGAAAAGCAAAGAGCATGCGTTAGCTAACGACAAATTTAGGAAGGTCACTGTAACGAAAGCAGAATACTCTGCATTTTAAAACCAAGCATTATAATTATCACAGAATACAATAGATTCAGTAAAACCTCACAGAAACTGTTCACAAAATACAAAAAATTGTCAAGTGTTTCCCAAATATGCAAACTGTCTTTCCTGAACTCAAACTCCTTTCTGAAACTTGACCAAAATAATATGTCACCTGCCTGTGCTTGACCGATGAGACAAACATGGCATGAATAGCAGGAAGTTGCACCACATGATTGCAATACGTGAACATTATTATCAAATAGTCATGACCTGAGTCAATGCAAATGTATTTTGTTTTTAGAAATAAAAAAACACTATTGCCCTCTCCACCCTTCTTTTCAAAATAAAGCTGTTATAGTAAGTAGGAATGAAATGCTAGGTTATGTGGGATCCCTAAACAAATTTCCTCAGTTTGTTTGCTAATCCAAACACCTAGAATATCATGGTCGATTCCAATGCAATAAGGCTAAGAAGCACACCTAGAAGTTATCAAAATTGAGCATTTTGCTCTGGAGGAAAAAATAAACTTGCCATCACACTTAAAACAATTTACTGCACAACATGACAATGTCTGATGTCTCAAATCTTGATGAAAAATAACACTAGCAGCCTCAAAATAGGCAAAAAGGAAAAGGGAATGTGTTGAAATGAGACTCAGTTTCTTCCCCCAGGATGAAATGGAGTCTTGTTTCTACCACAATTGTGCAACCCTTGCAGGCACCCCAGCATCTACTCAAGGTTGTGTAGCTTCAATCAGAGCTAATCATGGCCGAGAAGGTAGGTGTGTGCTTCAGTGTCTGAAAGACTGGGTCAAAGGCCCCAGTTCAAGAAAACACACAGGACACGGTTAAACCCGTAACTAAGAGCATGCCTAATTGCTGTCTTGGATCTAGATGCTTTCCTTCTACGGTGCAAATGAACTAATGCTGGAGAAGTTACCTTTAATTTGGAAATTTGCTGCTACAGAGGCAAGTAGATGTTATACGTGGATGTGTAAATATGTTTATGCACCAAAGTGGTAGTTCTCTCATTTTTGAGGCCACTAATTACAGGAAATAATGCCAGAGAAATTCTCTGATACATTTTTTCCCTGGAGGTCCATCCCATTCTGGTACTTAGAGAGGATCTCAGGTGCTGAAGGTTAGGGCTGTGATCCCAAAGCCCCTGCGGCATCTAAAGCATCTGCCTATAGTTTAAGCTGGTAAAACTGAGGTGACACTGGATATTATCCATCAGTGCGTATCCCAGGCCACCCTCATCTCCACCAAAGCCTTCTGCACAACCAAAACATGCCAGAGGGATGGAATGGGGGCACTATGGTCTACAAGTGCCACTGTCCTATGCTTCACTAGTGTGTGTTCCAGCAGAGAGGATCCCTGATGGGATCTGCACCTCAGCTTTGCCTTCCTTTTCCTCAGAGGATGCCAAAACCAGAAGCCAGGAGGTGGGAGAGAGGCGATGCTTGGCCGCTCCTCTGAGAAAAGTCATGCCACTTGAAACACCAAATTAGCTGGAAAGAGCTTTCCTGAGGGAGTGGCCAGTGGAAAGGTCCCTCAAGCACTGATCTCAGCCTCCACAACTGTGTTAAAGTGTTTTGATGGGGCAAAGCTCCATCTGCAGCCAGAGAGTCATGTGAACAACTTGGGCACAAGCCGTCTGCAATTTCAGTCAGATTAACACACTGTGAGGAGGCCTGGGCCAAGCTCACGCTACAAAGAGAAGCCAGAGAGGCAGCGGGGGTGCTTGCTAATTTTAAATTTAACTACAAGAAGTAGTCTGGGAGGAAGGGGAAGAAGAAAGCTGCACGGTGCTGACATTTGCTTTAAACTCATCTGGTTCCAGTATTAATGTTAGAAAAACATCCCCACCCGCACGGCTGCTAGAGGCCTTGCAGTGAATAAGCATCTTTGAGAGACCTCTGGACTTTTTTTGTGTTTTTCTTAAGAAAGGGCACCAAAATGCTAAGGGTCCTCAATTCTTTACAGTATGTGAAGGGTTTCTGGTGTAATGGTAGGCCTCAGGCTTGAGCATGTTCATCATAAAGACAAAGGAAAAAAAATAAAACTGAGAGAGCTGTTACTGTCAGTGGAAGATGCTTAAAAAGAAAGGCAACCCTTGCTAATGTCAAGACTGAGCAACACAACTGTTGCTCAAGATCCAGTCACTTTTAGGTATTAAACCTACTTTTATTACAATGGGACATTCTATCTGTTCAAACAAACCTCATTTTGACATGAGTAAGAGTATCTGGGTAATTTGTTGACACTTAGCAAATAATACATTCCTTACTATTTCTGTAAGGTTACCTAAGGTGACAGAAGATGTAGGAAACTATGGCTGTATTTTTGTATCCACCCAGTTAGTGACCAGCCAGCTCTGGCTAGATCTTTGCAAGCTCCCCATCCATGGGAACTCTCAATACTGTTGACTCGTCCCATCTGCAGGCCCCACTGGAAATCCAACAGTTCAGCACGTCAGGAAATAAACTTGCACAGCTACTGGCAAAATGACATGCGTGCAAAGATGACAGAATCAGTGAGATATTTCTTGAACCGGGAATATAGCAGCACAAGACATTTCCCCCACTCCCTTCTCTTCCTCTTCCTTAAAAGAAAGCAAATTTTCTTCTATAGTGTGTTGTGTTTAGTAGTGAAAGACAAAGACCAAAAATCTGGTGAAAGGGAGACATTCATGGACAACAGATGTACTTTTGATTAATTTCAATCTGATGTCATTTTCATGATGCAGGGATGTATTTTAGCTCTAATGACCCCCAAAAGTAACACTGATATTTTATAACGCACTGTTTGTTGCCAAATAACAGTAAACAGCCCTTTGTATTAAATAAAAAAAAAAAAAACAAAAAAAAAAACAAAAAAACAAACTGATTTCAGTTTTGCTTCAAGTTTCAGCGTTGGTGCTGGCAGAAGGACAAAAGAATGCTCTGCTCAGTCTCAGAGCAGCTAACAAGAGGCAAGGACGCCTAAGAATTGAATAAGAAGTCAGCAGGAATTGCTCCTCCTCTTCAAGGGACTCTGGGTGAGATGCCACGCAGTGATTAATGCTCTGAGTAGAGCACTGAGGCTGGAAATGGTAAGAAACCACAGCGGAACCCAAAGATAAACTCCTGGAAATACCTCTTCCCCCGTGCTATTATTTTTGAACAGAAAATGAAAGCTGCACTGTGCAGCCAAGAAATGAGGACAGAATATACCAAGCAGAGAAACCAGATGAGAAGAACACATGAGGTTTGCTCCCAGAAGATAAGTAACTTTAGATGCCAGTCCTGAAGAACATTATATAGTCAACATTTTGTCAGATGTCTAGACAAAGTCATGGCACACAGCCACTTCCTTGTACAGTAAGGGCAGCACTTTCAGAAAATGACTGGACAGCTTTTAGTATATGCTATCAAAGCAGATTTTTGTTCAATACACTATGAGATCTGGACTTGAAAGTCTATGTGTGAACCAACATGTTCACATGCTATGGTTCTAAGGGAGAGGATATCTTCATGTTGCCTTGTCCAGAATTTCAGATAATACTCAGCTGCTGTTCTATAAAGAACAGTAACTGTTGAGATTTTTAGTAATCTGTTTACATTTGTATAGGCACAGGGAACTCATTCTGCTGTGCTTTTTTTTTTTTTTTTTAATTCCCCTTTTCCACTCCAAGCTACCTACTGTGACACAACCGATGATGCAGCTGTGTAATTATAGAACTTATTATTAGATCACATAGGCAGAAGAGACATTACTAGCATTCTTTGTTTATACTGTAATGCACTTACTGAGGTTCATCATTGTCAGCTCTCTGGAGGAGGGATAGTGCAGCCTCTCTGCAAAGTCTCGGCAATACCACACAAGCAGCTCTTGGTTGGCAGGGATGGGCTTGATAGTGTAGAAGTAGATGTTCATTCCATTCTGACAGGCTGCCAAGTTCTGCTCCTGAACTGAGTAGCCAGGGTTTACATAACGCATCCAGTTGCTCTTGTCCTCATTAAATCCGTCAATGAAGTGGTGAAGCTCACCACTCGAATAGATCTGGAACAGAGAGGAAGTGCCTGTGAGTATATGTATATATATATATGCATGATACTCAAAATGCATGCACAGAGTCCACAGTGGAAAAATGATGAGTTTAAAAAAAAAAAAAAAGGAAGCTTTCAAGAAAAAACTGAGCAAATATAGCAGATATTACTGAAGTAAGAGTTCAAGTTGGGTTTCTTCCCATTCCAATTATGATATTCCCTGTTTTAAGAAAAGAAATGCTTATTCAAAGGCAAGTACACAGTTACCTTTTCCATCTCTGCTCAGCTTGTGTAGCTCTGCTAGCATGAGCAAATCAGACACAAAATCTGAAACGCAAAGTACTCTCCCTGCCTGAGTCCTTTTCCTAGTGCTATGATCAACAACTGGGTGATACTAATGATTGCAGGTCTGGGTGCATGCTTGCATTAATGCTTTGAGTCACCTGTGTATAAGACTGACTGGCTGTGCTACGTCAGAGTCTTTCTCACCTTTTTCTATGGCCTCTGTACTTGCAGTTTCCTACCACCCCCGCCCCAAGGTTTAAACTATGCAAACATCCCCCCCCCCCCCCCCCCCCCCCAGAGTCCTAAAGCAACACTTGCTCACAGTTGGACTGTAGCCCTTTTGTAAGAAGGCTGGGCGAGGCAGAGATGAACTTCACCTGCCATAACTCAGCGAAGACCTGGAAAGGGGCCAGTCCATGAGAAGTCACTTTTCCTATCAAGGGACACGCTCTGACTTGTCCATGGACGGGAATGAATATGTGGAGCTATACACTGCTCTGTAGCTTGGGGGAGAAAAAGTCCCAGGCACTGGGAGAAGCTACTTGTTTCTTAAAGTGGGAAGAACAGGAGAAGTACTAAGAAAAAAAGAAAAAAAGGAAAAAAGCCTCCAGGAGATACGTCTGTTCCGGACACATCCCTTGCTCTCAGGGAGAACTGGCTCCACACTGGATGAAACGGAGTTCCCCAGCTTGCAAATTAAATGACTGGGCACATGAAAGGGAGCAGCCTGCCCCGGTGACAAGCTTCCTTGGGCAGGAAATGCCTCCAGAAGGGGAGACACAGCTTGCTGCAAGAAGGAGAATGCTGGGCGGCCTGCTCTCGCCTTAGCGCCCACACCACCCGATGGGCATGCCAGGCCTGCCGCCCGCCTGGACCTCTCCTCGTTGCCCTGACAGCCGCCGGCGATGAGGGGCGAGGCAGCCTGGCCCTTTAACACGGGCCATAAACACCAGAATCACTTTCTTTACGAGTAACTTCCTGTAAACTGAGAAGGGGGAAATACATGTGGCCTCATCAAAGCGGCCTGCGAGAGATTTTGCGGTGTGTTTGTTATGAGAAAATGGAAGGGAGATGGGTGAATTTCTGCTGTCTCAAGAGGAGCCGTCAATTTTCTCCGCTCGCCCCAGCTCGCAAACTTCCAGGAACAGCGCGGGGCCGCAGCGCACAGCGCCCGCCCTGACTGACTGCTCCCCAAGGCCAGCACGGGATGGCACAGGGCCTGTGCCCCCGCCACCCTGGCTTAGTTGCCCCGCTGGGCTCCCACTTCTTCTGGGTAAGAAGAGAGCAGATGTGCTGAGTCACAGCGCGGTTCCCAGAAATGACGTCGGCCCCGCTCCCCTCGAGCATCCCCCCGCGCACTGCAGATGTTCCCGCTCCCATCAGCGAGCCAGGCGTGCCTTCAGCAACATGTGGGAAGTTATCTCCCACAATTTCCTTTGCATATGCATGCCTGCTTCAGTCCCATAGGAAAGAATTCATCTTCAGTGCAGCAATATATCTTGAACGAATCAAGAGATTACAGCAGAGAATTTAATGATGCTTATATGGCTCCTAGGATATTATTTCCAAGGATCCCCTCGCTTAAAATCACATCATGAAAATGATGTCATCTTCCCCGCTGCTGTGTATGAATAAAGCAAGATGGTGAGCAGCTCTGATCCCAGAGTCCTCTGTATTACAAACCACTGGCAGGGCTAGGGCCAGCACACTGATCTCTTCCTATGTCAGACACAAGCTCCAAAAACTTCAGCTAAAAGAAAAGTGCTGTAGCGCAATGAATGTGAAAGCAGCTGCATGCTTTGTACAAACACTCATGCAAATAAACGGCCTGTGCAATGCTGCATTACATTGCATGAGGATGATTAGAGAAAACCAAAATGATGCAATTAGCTAGGAAGAACTGTGCTTGCCCTGAGTTTCACCTGGATGTGAGGTTGCGATGTTGCTATGTGGCAGGGAGGCACCTGGGCACAGAGGCTTGGATGTGCTCCCAAATCCACTGATTTAGACGCAGCCTAATTGGCTAAAGGCGGCAAAACAAATCCGTGGAAAAAATGGGGATTAGAGAATGTTCCCTAAAAATTAATAATGGGTCTGTAAGGAAACTGAGGATTATGTTAACTGGTAAACTGGAGGTATATTCCTCAGCATGGAGTTTCATGCCAAAACGAGTTGGCTGATGCTCCCTTCCAACTTATAACACTGAACAGAAATTAGGCATCGCCTCTAATGAATTTGCCCTTAATGAATTTTCACTAGGATTCATGGCTTCTTTTTCTGAAGCACACTAGAAAAGCCTACAGGTTGAATTTTACATGCTGAAGATCACCACCTCTGTGCTACAGCAGCTCTATTCAACACCAGGAAAAAATACCCTAAAAGATACCATGATTCCAGAGAAAAAGATGATACAGTACTTTCACAACTTCCTCATAGCTGCAAAAATCAGGTATACATGACATTTGCATAAACAAGAATGAATTTCTACTGCCCCTACAGCAAGCAGCAGAATTATTTCTTTATCCCATCAAGTACCGATCTGCTTCAGAGGACAGAGCCAGGAAGGGCTGGATATCTTCCTTGCTCACTCCACCTACACAGCCCCTACATTCAAGACAGGCAGGCTCTTACTCAGCTTAACTCACCACATTCACCCTACTCCTCTCTGGCAGTGGCACACAAAAGTTGCCCCCTGCATTCGCACAGGTCTGAAGCAGGAAGTGACCCAGCTTTTCAGCTGTACTCATTTAGTGATCTGCTTACTGCAACAACATGGTGCTGTTTTTTCCTGCTTACCCGCCAAAAGTATTTTCTGTTCGCATTCTTGGGAACCGTATCGCTGGTATAGATCTCTCCTACCAGGGGTCCAAAGCGTGTTCCTTTTGGGATGTACTCTTTGCTTATAACTCCAGTGACCTACAAGAAGAGCAGCACAGGATCAGTCCATTGCCAGCAAAAATTGGTAATTCTTTCTTCCTCTCCCCTGCCCCACAAACTTACAAAGTTAAACAACTAATAAATGAAAATTTTTAGTGGCAGGTCAGCAAAACAGAAGTACTTAGCAACTGTACCGGATATGAGACGACCAGCTTTGTTAGACACTAAAGTCTTACCGAGACAAGTCTTACCGAAGCCAAGGATGAACACTGCCTGAAAAATGTGTTTTGTAGAAATACAGGAAGAAACAGTAAGCAAAATATATAGAGATTGTCAACTTCGTAAGTTACTTTTCCTATTAAAAGGCAACCTCTAAAGCCTAGTTCCAGCAAATAAAAATATTCAAGAACTATCAATCACTTTGCTGCTACACAGCCAGTTACAGTTAAGAATTGGAATGACTGCCTCTCCAGGTCAAAGTGAAACTTTACCCCTACTCCTCTTACTCCACACCCCTCCTCATAGCTAAAAGGAGAAAAACAAGACCTACAATTCTCTCATCAGTAGTGGCATACAAAGCAGAACACGAAAATGGCAGTGTGACGTGTACTCACAGATCACCCTCTTTTATAAAAAGGAGGCAGCAGTTCCGGTAACATCTGACAAGTGGGTTTGGTCAAAAAGGCGTAAAGGTTTTGATGAAAATGCTCCACTGCTAGGTCTAAGAAATGTACTCTACTTGCTCAGCTTCCTTCTTGACAGTAATTACACCAAAAAAAGTCACTGACCACAAATCAGGAAGCAATTCATCATTATTCAGAAAAACGTGCCTTGGAGTAACCCTTTGCAAAACACTGCTGAGTTATTGGTTTTGTTCCTCTCTGTTTCTTACCAATCTTCCTAAATTTAATACATCCAAAGAACATTTAAAAACAGCAACTCTGTAAACCAGAAACCCAAGACTATGCAAGATTGATCCTGCTGCTAAGACAGTGGAGAGAAAGGATGTTAAAAAGCCCATCAACCTGGTATTATAATGAAACCTTCATGGCAAAACATATTAATCGTGTTTCCTTCATGCATCTTGCCACTTAATAACTGTCTTTTTGCTCATCAGGATTTCAACAAGACAGCAATAGCAGAGTTTGTTGATAAACACTGAGTATGGGGATTACTGCTGTCTGTACCCAGCAAGGAATAAACATTCTTACCAAAGCAGATTAGCAATCACCAAGCCCTGTAGTTAGCTCACTTCAGAGAGCATTTCATTTTCTTTTTACCAGTCCTTCACAGCAGAAGATGGTAAAAACCTTGAACTACAGACAGCACTTCACAAATTAGCTAAACCTTGTGATTTTCTCATGGTACATTTTCTTCTATTGCATCACCTTCAGTGTGAGAAAGGGAGAGACAGAGAAGTACTTGTCTGTGTATTGGTTAAGATTAAAAATCCCAGTAACCAACTAATGCCTGGCATAATTTCATGCGAGATGTCAAAATAAAGGGAACAAATAACAGCCCAAGCATCAAGGAGATAATCCACCCGGAAACAGATTGCTGGGTGTATGTGGCGTGGTTGTTGTTCATGCTTGTCTGTATTTTAACATGTTTCAGAACACCACAAAACAAATTAAATGTCAACAGCAGAGGTAGTTAAATGCTCCATTGATCTGTGCATCTGGACTGAAGAGACAAAAAAGGGACTTCCAGAAATTTTCCTACACCTACCACAAGCTGAAACAAGCTCAGTGGCTCAGTTTTATTTTAGTCTTGCTTGTATTTTTTCTCATAGAGAGCTGAAAAAGGCAGATGTTCTTCACATCTTCCCCATATATCTTCATTTACATCCATCTGCCCTCTCAAGAGAAGTTCACTACCAAGATACTGCATATTCTACCAGTTTGACTGCAAGGTAGCAGGTTTTTTTTTTTTTTTTCACGGTTTTAAAATATCTTGCCCTTAATTAAAACGACTTTAATGAAATTCTCAGAATCTCTAGAAATCACTCCTTGAACCAGTCAACTTGAAACACTCGCTGTGCACTGGCACCTCTGACACAGCAGATGCTTTTTGATATCCACTTCCATAGAGTGCTTGCTTCCTCCCCAGAACACGAGGACAGCTTCTCACTCCCTACTATCAGAAGGTGATTTTGGCAGAAGTTCTAGACGTGTGTGCTTGCTCTGCTGAATCAGACTAAAGCTGCCCAGCCGATCTTGAACCAAGAGTGGCTTTCTGGTACCAGTGTTCTCAGGAGTCAGTGCTGGTGTTGGTGCTGGAGCAGGGCTGCCTTCTGGGAGCGGGGACCATCGTGCCAAGCCAGCACCAGGCTCCAGGCTGCCATCAGACCCTTGCACAGCCAAAAGGGTGTGGCTTTGGGATTAGCTTAACAGGAGCCTGCAGAGTGCAGAGCTGCTCAGGGCTGCAGCTAAACAGCAATGGAATTGCGTGACCAGACCGAGGGGAAGCTGGCTGCAGGCTGCCAACAAGCCATTGCAGAGAGGCATTTCAGACTTGTGTCCACCAGGTGTCCTTCAGCACATTTCTCCGTTTTGTGAGACCTTTCAAAGCAGTCTCATGGCAGGGAAGCAGAGAGGAGTGTGGCCTGAGTTCTGCTTGCACCGTTATAAGCCTTCTACCCTTACACAGCCCCTGCAAGCATGCCAAACTAACCTAGTAAGTGAGCAAAAACGCTATTTGCAGAATGTTATCTTCTTTACTGACACTTATCCCCTCTCTCTTTAGGCTATAGCCTCTTAACAACTATTAGCACTCTCCCAACTGTGCCACAGACACGTCCTTCCTTTCTGTAAAACATCATTTGTACTGTGAGGACTAAACCAAACCCGATATGGTTCTATGATTCTATGATCTTAATGTGCTGGCCGAAGCTGGGAGGAGCTTCTCCTCCTTCACCATGGTCCCAGCAGGACGGAACGCACATGAGGGCCCTGCTGGCCTTAAGGAACAACGGCTGCACCATGGGGCTGCGGGGAGCTGGGAGCTGCATGGCAGGGAGCACCCAGCCCAGAGTGGCCACGGCCCTGGAACTGACCAGGGTCCTAATGTGATGTGAGGGCTGAGCTGCCATCATCCCACTGGCTGGGTGCTGGGCACGGCAGGGCTTTCATTCTTCAGCTGGCCTGAGGGGAGCCCATCCACTGGATGCTTTATGGGCAGCACTGGCCTCACCGCTGCCTCAGCACATCTGTCAGCAACAGCGGGCCAGTGTGCAGCACGACAAGCCCTCAGCTCCCACACAGAAGAGAGCAGCGCTGAGCGTGGATTCACTGTTAGCAAGGGCTTTAAAAGACCAGCACTCCTACAGCTTTGTTTGTAGTGAGAGCATTGAATAAATGACAACTCCGACGGATTCCTACAGAGGAGGATGTTTTACAACGGGACCAATAGCTTTAAAGGAATAACAAAAACACAACAAAACGTTAAAAAAATTACAAATCTTACTGGCTCCAGTGCACTGTGAAATAGCAGTATTTTCCAGATGCAAATCAGCACAAGCCATCACGTGCTCTAGAATAATGGTGATTTTTCTTAACTCCTAGGTCTACAGTTGCATAAACCCACTTAAAATTAACTCTTCATTTAGTTAACACTTTCTAAAAGTGCTGCCAGAAGAGATGTTTTCAGACTGCTTCCTCACTGATCATATATGAAAGAAATAAAAGCCTGACAGCAAGTGTGTGAGGTACATTGGTAACAGCTCCAAATCACTGCCTCAAAACAGCGTCCACTGCTGAAGAGCTTCCTTATCAGAGACACGCAACAAGTTATTGGCTCACTGAGATCTGTTCTCGCTGTCAAGAGCACGGGATGGGGTGCCAGGATGGGGCACTGACAGAATTCAAGGCAGCCGAATAACTGCCATGTGATGTCAAGAAGGGCTGTTTGGGCTATAAGTGAAGCCAAAGGGAAAAATTACTGAAAAAAAAATGTTTTGAAATGAAAAAGATTATTCACATATGGCCTTCTTGAGTGTGATTTTGGCACTGTGTTTTGTCCATTTTTGACAAGTGCTAAAACTGGAACAAAGATAAATAATTCATGCATAGGAATAAATAAATGACTTCACGTAAATCTAGCAGCCCAGAATGTTACGAGCAGTAGTAATTCATTTTTTAAAATGCTGACACATACTGTGAACTCATAACGAAAAATGCGTCCTTCAGAAAAATCCCCAATCGAGATCCAAGAATAAACAAGAGTATGATGTGTCATGGACTCTCGCAAATTCAATAAGCTCTTAGAGAGGCACTACTCACTTCACAAAGCGTGCGAGGAAAAGAAACACAAAAAGCAGCCCTCCCCAAACAGCAGCGCTTGTACTTCCTCCCTCCTAGGCAGGCACGCAGTACTTTTCCTTCTCCAAATGGAGATACAATGCTAATCATGTCAACCACATGATCTAATCATGACAGTATTTAGCATTTCACAAGCGGTGTATTAGACATGTTTTTGTCAATAAATTGACTCAGCATTTAAAACTCTCAACCAGACGAAGCCACAGTTCTGAAAGTTAACAACGAAGACAGCTCACATCTGAGATCCGCTGGCAAACATGCACGCAAGCATCCCCCGATGCCTTACCTCAGACTTTTGCAAGTGAAAAATCCCACCCTATCGCGCTGTCAGAACTCTGGTGGTTTTCCATGAGGTCAAAACCAGAGCCAGGCTCCCCCTGTGACCCCGCAGATGCCAATGCTAAGAGAAACACAGATCCAATTCTGACCCCACCAAACAAAATCAAGACTTATAAGGTAGATACAAAAAAATAATGCTTCACGTCAGGAGCCGTGAGAGGACAAACAGGCTGTGCCACACGCAGCTATCTCACCCCGCAGACAAGCAGCAAACAAGTGACCTGTCCACACAGTTGCAGCATCAGACCTTTCACAGAAAACAAGCAAGTCTCTTTCTTACAGAGCTATGTTAGAAATAGACAGGGCTCCTGAGTTCCTATTGCTCTTGCCAGAAGGTGCTACTCAGCGCAAATAAATGAGCATGGGGAGCTCTGGAGAACAAAAGGAGGATGTCCTATATTCAGACTCCCACTAGCAAGGAGCTGTGCGGGTCATACTTGACAAGGAAGGACTTGGAACCCTTCAGCAACTTCTCCGTCCCCCCACCTCCTGTACAGCAATCATAGCAATCCTCCCACCTCAATTCACTGAGCTCAGCTATAGCACAAGAAAACTGCATGCTGATAATTCCCAACACAGTGCTGGGAATTCTGAAAGCTGCTTGGACAACCACTACCGTGGCTGCAGATCGAAGCCTGAGCTGGGCAGTTAGTCCCCAGCTGGCTGCCTGGGCCCTGTGCCACAAGCCCATCCTTCAGCCCAGAAAGCTCTCTGCATCACACAGTGAAGCTACGGCGTTCTCTCTCCCCAAAGTCAGATGCATCTCATGATACAGTGAGGCAAAACAAGGTTTTGAGCTTTTTTTTTGGGAGCGCGTCCTTACTCTGCCAAGTTCTGCGGGGCAGGGTAGGGCAGATGGGAAGAGAAGAGCAATCTTACATGGGAATTTAGCTTTAACCTCTTAGCAAACCTACCAGGCATTGTACAAGGCACTGCCAAACTCGATTCCACGGTGCCAATACCCTCCAGCTGGGGGTCCAGCCCTATTTGTGCACGCAGGACTAAACAAGTACCTGCTTTAGAAGGAAACATTTGATAGACACAGATGAGTGTATTTCTCCTCAGCTCTGTGGTCAGTGTGTTTAGCCAAAGCAGAAGCACAGGTAATAGCTGCCACACCACCAGTCTCAGCACAAGGAGAAATGAAGGGTTGTCCCTTGGGTTATTACCCTGCTGAACATCACACCTAGCTATAATAGCTACTCTATAGGAAGGAGTAAACACAAAACCAAATTGCTCATCCGGGCTCATTTCTTTCCAGCCCTTCTGAAACAACAACAAAGAATGTACCCACTCCAGGGACACGGATAGGACAGACTCGCACAGCCAGCTACCAGTAAAGATGCTGTCCCAGATAAACACAAGTCAATCTGAGCTATGGCTATCCTGCTGTCCAGCTTACTGAGTCACCTCCTCAATCAATACGCCAAATTGAAGAATTTAGGAAGTCGGGACCATGGCGAGCTCACGAAAAGAATAAAGCAATTTCATAACCAAAGGGAAAACAAAAAGAAATAATTAAATACATTTCCAGGAATTTGTGTTGTTTTGTGTTTTTTTTTTTTTCCCTCTACTTTTTTTAAAGCTATTTATTGGACAACTGAGGCACTTTAATCTCTGTGCCAGAAGCAATGAATGGTCCTGGCAAACAGCAGTCAAGAAATTGGCACAGGGAACCACCCCGCAGTTTAAATATGCTTATTCAGATGCTGTTCAAATTGTGTGAAAATTTAACTGTTTGTGAATTGGCTCAGAGCCGGGTTCAGAGACAGGCTGGACGCGATTCCCAGTGCAAATACCACACGACAGATGCCCCGTCCACTGTTTCTTAAAAGTATCATGAGAGTCCCATCTTAAAAGCCAGTGGGCAGCACTCGGTGGTGGCGTAGCGTGCATGAGTAAAGAATGGAAGGCAAGGCGAGCGCACACTTTCCAAAGCCCCGTGGTTTGGCTCGTCTGACTCCAACCTTCCCCGGGCACCGCCGCTTACCTCTTTGCAGTTTGATGCGTATTTGAAAGTCAAGTTCCTTGGCAAGGAAGCCTCTGCCTGAGTGAGGGTGCCTCCATCGGCACTGGGGTCCCATGGGTGGTCATTGACGATGTATGTGCACTTCTCTTCGAAATCGGCCTCCGTCCACAGGGTCATGTCAGCATCCTCCATGTCCATTTTCATTGTCCACTCTCTCCCTTTCACCAGATTCTTGAAACTCACAGCGTCCGAGCTACACTGTGTAGCAGCCTGGAAAATAAGAAAACAGCCTTTAATCCTCATTGTCCTTCAGTGTTGTGGTTTCCGTTGAGACAGCGTGACTAATGCAGCAGTCTGTGACACTTTAAAAGCATATGCAGGATAGCTGGTACAGTTGAGTAATAGCCAAAAAGCAATGTAAACGAAGCTGCGCTGGCTGAAGCAGCGCCTTGAAATGCCTCGGTCATAGCGAGGAGGCAACCAAAACAAAGAGGAAAAAATCCCCAGGCTGACAACCGCTGTACCTTTCTCAGAGCCCTTCCTTAATGCCTCCGAGAAAAAAAAAAATATTCCATGCCCAAGAAAGCGCGGGGTCACGGCCGCACGACCACTCGGTTGCCTGTGGAAAGGCTGCCTCAGAAAGTGTCACACAAACAAGGAGAGGAAGAGGAAAGGAGCTGCTGTCTGCGTCTGAATGAAGCTAAAAATGGAAAGCGCATGTTGGAAGAGCGGAACCCAGCCTTGCCTTTTCCAAATGGGGAAGCCTGAACTTTCCCACCGGCTCTCAACACACAAACAACTTTCAAAACAACCTGCCCCCCCACCCCCCTCCCGCCGTCCTCTTATCCTTTGGCACTGGCGGCCGAGCGAGCCGACATCCTGCCAGCATCCCCACCGCCCCGCACAAAGCGCTGCCACGCATTCCCGGGGGCCAAAAAAGCAAAGAAAAGCAGGGGGGAAACTGGAAAAAAATAAAAAAAATAAAAAAAAAGTCCTCGTATCCTTTGTGATTTGGATGGCAACTCAAGAATTACTCTCTCAAAGCACTGGCTAGGATCCCTGCGTAAGAAATTCCTCCAAAGCCACTCTTTCTATGTGGGACAAAAGCTGTGTTAACAAACACGGCATCAAGCAGGTAGCAGGACGCTCCTTCCCCGAGGTAAATAAAGAACCCAGCTCCGCGCTCACGCCGGGCGCTCGGAACGGCGCTCACCCGGCACGCAGCCTCGTTACTCTTATCCCGTATAGAAAACGCAGCCCCGCGACATTCGCATCCCTCCTCCGACAAAACGAAAGGGCCGAGGGCAGGGGGGGGGAGGAGGGGAGGGGGGAAGAACACGGGCTTACGAGCCGGGGACAGGCAGCTCCGGGCTGCGGGGCACCGGGCTGCGGGTACGCCGGGCTGCGGGAACACGGCGCTGCGGTACGCCGGGCTGAAGGACCGCAGGGCTGCAGCCGCCTCCCGGCTGAGGCCGTGGTCCGGGGCTACGATGTACCGGAGCCGGACACGGGGTCGGAGCTGCCCGGCCGGAAAGGCTCCGCCGGCGGCTCCCGGGTCCGGTGCGGGGCTCCCGGGTCCGGTGCGGGGCGGGGGCGGCGCGGCGCTGCTTACCGGGGCTGAGTCGGCGAGCGGTTCCGCACAGAAGCCCCTCGTCCGCGGCGGATCTCGCTCATATCTACCGAGTAAACATTGCTTCTTCCTTCCAGCCGCTGGGTCCCCGGGAGACTGACTCACACCTAGCGCCTCCGCGCCCTCCCGCTCCTCCTCCCGCCGCAGACAGGTGCTGCGCGCTCGCTGCTTTTGCCTTTCCGAGACACTGGAGGGCTGAGTGAGACAGCAAAGGCTGCAGCCCGCTCCCGCTCCCTCCCCGCTTCGGATTCCCAATGAGGCGCCCCGCCGATGCCCGGGCGGGAGGTGGGGCGGTACCTGCGGCCCCGGCCCTCACGCAACGCGGGGGAACTTTGCTTCTTTCATTTCGTTTCTGGCTCGTTCTGCTCTTCCCCGGCGCGGGCACCGCCTGCCCCGGCTGTGGGGACAGCCCCACAGGGGCACCTCCGGGCGGGCGGGGAGGGCACCGCGCTCTGCTAACCCCCCCTTTACACGAAATGCGTGTTTGCTTTGTTTTGTTTTAACGCTGGCTGAAGCTCAGAGCACCAAAGGTCTCCGTTTCCCGGAGGTTTCCGTCCCCGTCCCCGTCCCCCCGTCCCCCCCCACCGATTTAAGTGGTGAGGATGCTATGAAAATTAGAAGGAAAAATGACTTCTAGGGTACCAAATTGCAACCCTGATTTAAAGCCCTACTTCCAAATCTCAGTGATTACAGCAGTTTGATAAGCTCCGTCCAGGAGTCTTGTTATTTTGGTTTTATTCCTTCATGGGGGTCTCTAATGGTTTGTAAAAGGAATGAGGAAAATCATCGCAGTTTCTCCCTTTAAATAAAACCCCCCTCTCCCCATATAATAACAGGGAAGTGCAGGAGGGAAACACACAGCAGGCGGCACTTCAAAACTTGACATCTCTTTTGCAGCATCAATAATAATAATAATAATAAACAAATGAGCACTGGTCCTTCTGCTGGGTAATATGAAAGTGATCGTGGTGGGAGGAGAGTTGCAATAGTCATTAGCAGACCCCGAGCCCAATTTCTTCCCCCAACCCAAGCCAATGTGCTGGCTAAAGGAAGGACATCCTGTGATGATGGCATACAATGTCCTGTTTGTTTATTATTAAGAGCATTCCTGCTTCTCATTGCAAAACAGCCAGATGCCTTACTTCCTCCAGTGGTCCTGTCCCCACAGCAAGGCATCCTCCAGCTCAGAGGAACAATGATGCATGGCTCCATTTACAGCCACGCTCAGCCCATCACAGGCTGAGGCAAGCCCTCTCATCTATCTCCAACACCTTTCTCACTGCTGCCCCAGCACTGCTTCTCTGGCAGGTGCACACCCAGCCCTTTCCCTCCGCCCGTTCCTCCTCCCCGATAAAGCACGGTGAGGAGGATTACTTTGCCACTCTTGGCCCGCAGTGCTGAGAATAGTACATCTGTGCAAAGACCTTCATGTGCTCTGGCATGGAGGGCTCATGGCTGTGGGCAGAAGTGGGGCAGCTGCCTATGAATGGTGTCCTGCTGTCACCGTCACACTGAGGGACTCCGCCAGAGGTGGCCCCGGTGCTGGGCTGGGGGGTGTGGGTGGCATTGGCTGCGTGGGGTAGCAGCCAGGCACAGACAAAATGAGGGCTATGAAGGCTCTGAAGGAGGAAGAGACACTCATTAAAGGAGAGAAATCCGGCCTACTTGATTGGGTTAATTAACTGATGCTGAGTCACACCGCATAGAGCAGAAAAACAATGTAGTCATACTGAAGGTGATTATTTTACCAAAAAATAGTCTCACTTTGAGAGGCAGTTGTTTCAGAGCTTTTCACTTCCCTGTTAGAGTGACAGGAAAAAAAGAGGAGGGCACAAGAAAAATAGGGTTGGTGTGTCTCCTTCAGGGGCTGATCTTAATGTGAAGGAAAGCTGGAAAAGATCAGATCCTTCCTCCAAGGAGGGAGAAGAGGCAGAGCACAGATCAGGTGAGACGAAGTGACACACTCACTGGGACAACATGAGGACGCCAATGCCAAAAGAACTCTGCCAGAGCCCAGCTGAGCAAGGGCAGCCCGCTGAGCACACGAGCTGCCAATAACTGGTACATGAAGTCGGCCCCAAATCAGCCCCCCGGTGCTGCAGAGAGGAAGGGATCTCCCTGGCACGCAGCGCTGCCTGATCCCAAATAAAAGCAAGTTTATCAAGGAGAGAGAGAACAAATTGTAAAGAATGTGTGCTGAAGCCAGGTCATAAAGGAAGCTCTGCTATTAAAGAAATACACAGATCGACCTTCTGACCTTCCTCTTTAATACAGAAACATAAAAAGATGCCCTACTCAACCGGCAGCTGTCTGCTCTTTTATAAAAATCTTTCATACCAGTAGCTGCTATTGTCTGGAATGTGCAATTTCAAAATGTTGTTCATTTCAAAAAAGATCATTTTTAGTCATATTTTCATTTTTTCCTTCTCGCTCATAGAAAACCTCAATTACCGTATTAATCAGCATTTCTTAGGCAGCTCTCTCTGCAGCAGCTTTCAGCCTGGCAACAAATCATGAATGGCTCTAGCGGCTCTGATCTCAGAAATCCCCATCCATTTCCTTTGATGCTATCACCGCCTCGGCTCAACAACAAGCGGAGGCCTGGGCTCAGCTGCTGCCACTCTCCTCTCCCCGCCAGAGCGGGAAGCGTCGGGGGAAGGAGGAGGGCAGGGAGCTGCCTCGAGCCTACAAAACTTCTTCAGAAAGTCAGAGGAGAGATAAAATGCACACGAGAGATTAAAGCGCAGTCTCATTTTCACATCCTCCCCATCCCCTTACCCAAAAAAGGTCAGTGCCGGATTGACCACATCAAGAGCCACTACCAGACCCACCCCCTTCCCCACTTCCTGTATGTAGGCATCCTGGTGCTAGTAAACATTTGGGGACCAGTTGTGGTCACCACTCAGAGAAGGTAGGCGATGGAGTTGCACAACTGCACTTCTTCTAAAAGCAGCAGCACTCAAAAGAAGAGCTTCTTTCAAGTTCTGCTGAGATACACTCACGTTTCAGGGCTGTGCTTCTGAGAATGTGGCCCGTGCCAAAGCGAGGGCATGCCCTGGTGGCTGAGCGACAGGGTGAGCTAAAGCCTTCTGCCCACACACCGGCCTGACCTTTCCAAAACACAGCCTATGGGCTCCAGATACGATCTCTGAGGCTTTCTGTGCCCTGGACTACTCCAGCACGGGACTGCTTATAAGGAGAGAAATTAAAATCACACTTGAATCTACATGAAGGTTTTTGCAAGGGCTTTTGGGGCGGTGTATGTTGTAGCCAGGAGGCTTTTACATTAATGCGTGCAGCTCTCAGGGACTGCCTTTAATTACAGAGCACCTTGGCCACTGCCTCCTAGCAGTTCCAAATGCCTGTACGTTTATTTTGTTCTCTGATGTGCAACAGCAAGAGGAGACCTTTTGGCTGCACTCTAGTGCAGGCCTTGATGGCTCCTTAGATTTCGATGTTCTTTGATCCTCTAAGGAAATGTTCCCTAAAAAGAGAAAAAAAGAAGCCAAATGAAGATGACATTTCCCTTTTTCTTTCCAGCTAGGCCTTATTAAAATGCTGCTCAGATGACTCTGAATAAGCCCAAACAATCCTCTTCCACTAGAAAAACAAAAACAGTAACAAAAAAAAAAACAAAAAACAACAACAACAAAAAAACAGTCTTGCAGCACACAGAAGCAGGTTTAGTTTGAGTTTGAGGAAATGTCTGTCTGGGCATGCTGCTGGGAGAGTGAGAAGTCACCGTGAGAAGCTCAGCTTCTCTTTGCTGTGAGTGCAGCCCAGCAGCAGGGACGCAACAGTGTGAAGACACTCACTCTTGTTTCCCAGGAGGGAAACTTGGGTGAAGGTATTGAGAAAGCTGCAACAGCTGCAGCAGCTTTGTCATCACACTTCTCACGGTGTTGCTGTTGTTTTTATTTTGTTCAAAGTAGGAGAAAGCAACAGACTTTGGGGTCTGATGGAGGAGAACTGACTACACGGAAGGA